TGTTAGCTACCAGGTTCCAAGCACTAATTAAAAGGCCTTTCTACTGCTCACTGGAAATATTAGCTGCTTTATTTTCTGTAAATGGCCATCTATGGAAGCAGTGATACCTACAAGCAGATGCCTTGTGCAAGAGCTAATTGTAAATAACAATTTAGCTTACAAAGGAACCTGCTTTTCTCTCAGCTCTTCTGGGCCACCGATTTCTGTCCTAGAGCAGTTGCTTTTGCGCTCTCTTCCCCAGGGTAGAAGCTAGACCTTCTTATGCTATATTCCCCCAGTGCAGTTTGCATTTTCAGAGTTCTCTGTCGCTGATTTTTAACTCCTTCAGGCTTCCTCTATAACCATGGGCATTGTTGGAGCAGGTCACTTCCTGCTAGCAGCATTGCAGTGAAAGATTCCAGCCAGATTAAATAATAAGCCACATTTTTCCTGTCATAGTAGCAAACCAGACCAGGAGGGGAGGGAGACTGTTGTATCATTCAGCAGTGATCATTGCAAGAATGGAACTAATGGCTGCACTGATAGGTCTCTAGTGAGCCCGGCCCAGTTTGCCTTGGCTTGGTTGCTGGGACAGTGACCTTTAAGGAGCCGGGGGCTTGTAAGAGCTCCATGACTGTTGCAAAAAGAATGAGGAGTCCTTGTGGCACCTTAGAGACTAACAAATTTATTTGGGCATAAGCTTTCATGGGCTAAAACCCACTTCATCAGATGCATGGAGTGGAAAATACAGTAGGAAGATATATATATACACAGAGAACATGAAAAAATGGGTGTTGCCATACCAACTATAACGAGACTAATCAATTAAGGTGGGCTATTATCAGCAGGAGAAAAAAAACTTTGGTAGTGATAATCAGGATGGCCCATTTCCAACAGTTGACAAGAAGGTGTGAGTAACAGTAGGAGGAAAAAATTAGCATGGGGAAATAGGTTTTACTTTGTGTAATGACCCATCCACTCCCAGTCTTTATTCAAGCCTAATTTAATGGTGTCCAGTTTGCAAATTAATTCCAATTCCACTCTGATGACTGTTGCAGTTGGCTCTGTAATGGATGTGCTGTGAGCCCTTTCCGGAGGAGACACAACAGCCCAGATGTCCAGGGCAATGGTGTAATTACTGACAGGAACCCTGTGGGCACTAGTCAGCCATTGGCATCTACAAATGTAGGTGTTCCATGCATTGCATCAAAGCCATCCTGTGCAGAGAGCAGACACTAGTCTCAACGCAGCCCTCTACATGGGGCAATGTCACAGAGCTCTGGCAAAGTTCAGGTTCCTTCCCTTGAAAATGTGGCCCTGTTATTTAAAGGCCCCTGGGGAGCTGCTTCCAGTTACAGCAGATTTGCCCGAACCAACGCAATGGCACTTCATCCCGGGGCAGATCCTGTCACAATGTGATGAAAGCTTTCTGTAGGCCGGGCCGTATGGGAGGAGGGGTGTGCATGGAGAGCGACGGGCCTGGCTGAGACAGAACCTGCCTGAGAACATCCACGGAGCTCAGCCTCACCCCAGGGAGGGCAGGCAACGCACACAGAGTTACTATGGCAACGTAGTGAAATGCACCTTTTGAAAGCAGGAGGTGACTGGGAGCACCGTGATGCACATTGCTCAGGGGGCAATATAGCCATGGCTTAGGGGTGATGTGCTATTCTGCCTACTAACTTCCAGTCACATTATCAAATTTGTCCTCTTCAGTCACTCAAATAATTAACCGCCTTAAAGTAAAACGCATCCCCATTCACCATACCGGCACCTCTCTGAAGCAGCTGTCCTCTCCAGAATCTCAGCTTGCTTACTTGCTTTGAGTCCATAGCTGTTCTGGGTGATGAAGAAAACCTTAGCCCTGGGTGTGACAGAGTCAGCTGAAACTCTCCCTGAGCGCTCCACATTCCTCCAGTTATCTCGGCAAGCGGGTAACAGGTGCCCTGTGACCAGACAGCCATAGAATCAAAGAAGTGTAAGGTTGGACAGGACCTCAAGAGGTCATCTAGTCCAGTCCCCTGCATTGAGGCAGGACCAAGCAAATCTTTTTCATCCTGACAGGTGTCTGTCTGTCTCTAACCCGTTCTTTAACTGCCCCTCCAGTGACAGGGATTCACAACCTCCCTTGGAAGCCTGTTCCAGAGCTTCA